AGCATGGGTAGTGACATGACTGTAAAGCTCATTTCCTCTCTCAGGGGCCACATGGGCCACAGACAAGGCTGTGATGATGACTTAGTTTGGGTCACAGAAGTCCTGTTTTCCCCTGCATCTCTCTCACCCAAATAAGATATGGAAAGACAGATCATGAGCCAGGAGGAGCTCTCACTTCATAACAGCCTAAGCAAAAGGATAAATCAGTCTTTATTTGCAAGTGAATAGCCTAGAGAGTAAAGGTGATACATTTTGCCAAGTGCAGCGAGCATTTACATAGCTGGAGGTGACTGGTCAAATCTGATCAAATGAGAATCAGAAAGAAAATAGCCACATTGAAATGGCTCAAAGTTGCTTTTTACCATTGTCAAGAGGAGATGGTAGCCTGACCAAACATGCAATTATACCCAGCAGATAATTTGATACTTTACAAAAACTTTGACCCTGTCACAGGTTCTTTTGTCCCAAAGAGGAAAAGCTTCAAAGCGGAGAGAGGCCGTATAATGCCTAAAGGTTTGCCAATCTAGGGTTACATGTCCACAGGGATCCTGTATTCACAGTGCTGGCCTCTTTTTTTTTTAATTTGATGAATGACAAGGACACGTTGTTCTAATTTCCTGATAGCTCTTGAGATCTTAACATGTTTTCAATTTAGAGGGAAGCAGCCATCCTGTAGTATGAATTTAGGATTGCAATCTTTAGCTAAAAAGCAATGTGTACTGAAGCAGGTTTTTAGTGACAAGATATAAACCAAGCTCGTCTCCCAGGCCTCAGTGTTGCGTTTAACCTGTTTTCTGCTCTTAAATTAACTGGTTAATTATATAATAACTCAAACCTCACAGGAATGACATAAGGATGCTACCACTTCAGAAGCTAATCACTGTAAAATAAACCACTGAGCCCCACAGCCTGCGTCACCTCTGTCAGCAAACCCTCAGGAAAGGCTGTTTATGTTCCTCCCACAGCGCTTTCGGGTCACGTGCATGTGTAATGTCATCTTTTTAGCATCCTTGGGCAATGCAGCTCCTCTCAACTCTCTCAGACCTGGATCTGTCTGATCCAATCCCCGTCACTATTAGAGTCAAGTAGTCCTGGCTGCAACAAAACCACAGTCCCTCTCTCTCTCTTGCTTTCCCTCTGGATGAAAAACCTTAGCATCTATGAGATTTTCAGAAAATGATGTGCAAGAGATATGGCTGCTTTAACGATGGTCTACAGTGATTTATGGTGAATGGGTATTTCACTGACTGTTTCACAGTTAAGAAAATATATGAATTTGTTGAAATGACTGGTCTGAATAGATAGAATACCTAAAACATGCATGGCTGACAGTTTCCCAGAAATTGTCTCCCAATCGTGTAGTTGTGTTTTTCCATCATCAGTTCCATTCTGAAACATATTCTGGTTCAATAAACATCCTCGAACGGTTTGCAGCGGCCTGTCAGTAGACACTCTGTTCTTGGCAGCTTTGGTTATTTGATAAGACAAAACTAAAATCACAGAAAATGGAGGTGAAAAGCTACACTGGTGCGAGCACTTCAGCTGCTTTGGCTGGATTTCCCAAATGGACCTTTCTCCAAACGTCTGTCTGACTTTAATATGATTTTGTAGAGGACTGCTTGACACTCAAAGTGGAAGGCAAGTTAAGCAATGTCTGCAAATGCACGACAGTACAATCAGTCTTTCTGCTTCGCTTTATAAGCAATTACTACTGGTGTCCGTCCACAGCAACACTTGCTTTCCATGATGGTTTTAATCGAATGCTTAATTGTGTTTTGCATTACTGGACTAATGAAGCACCAACCCACAATCAAACTGTCGAAGGGATGAACTGAATGATGGAAAATTTAATTGGCAATAATGTTGATAAACAGTTAATCGTGTGAGTCATTTAATGAGCAAAAATGCCAAACATTTACTGGTTTCAGCTTCTCAAAAGCGAGCATTTGATGCTATTCTCTGTTTTCTTATAACTGTGATTGGAATACATTGGGTTTTGCTGCTGGTTGACAAAAGAAGAATTGAAGAAATCAACAAGCAAAATTGTGGCAAGGATTTTTCACTATTTCCAGTCATTTTGAAGACTAAATGATCAATGAATTAATGGAAGAAATAACAAAGACATTACTCGCCAAAAAAAGAAAAGCATTAGTAGCAGCCCTAATCATGATACGCATTTCCTCTGTGGCCTCTCTGCAATCAAACCAAGGACGGGGAGAAACTGTAAAGGTCTCTGCATTCAGTCGACCTTTGTAAACTGATTGGCTGTGGTCATGCATGCAACTGAAAAGAAAGACTTGCTGTATCTGTTTTGGGGGGAAGGAAATCTATTTCAGTGGACCTCCTAAATAAATTCTAAATATGGGAAACACTGCTGGCTGTACACGATGTGCACACACTGTTCTGAAATAATCACTTTATCAAGTTGGAGTTGTTGGACTAGCAGCCATTGCTCCTGGCGGTGTTGGTCTCCATGCTCATGAAGCTAAGTCAGACGTAAAGAGGTCTGGAGCTTTTATAAGTCAGCCTGCAGTCAGCCATGCCTCCATCTTGCTTTGTAAATGGAGCAGCATGGGGCTACGTCATCACTCCCGCATGATCTGACTGATGATGTAACACAGGCTATGTGAAACAATCCTACTGTAAACTAGAGAGCCACATATCGCTGTTGAAGAGAGAGAGAGCCATATGGCGAGATGCAGAGTGCAGTTCATTCATCATATCCCACAGGTTGAGGACACTGGGAACCCATCTCTTATCACACACGGCTCTGCTTCATTTCTCTCACTTTGATTTCTGGAGGCTATATTTCAATTTCTGTCAGAAAACGCAGGCTTGAAATTCTCCCATGTTTCAGTTATCAGTTTGAAGGGGATCAATTAATAATTACGTCAAGAGGCTCAACAGACCCATTGAGCTGAGAGGAAAGGAAGAAAGAGATGGTTAATCCTTCCCAAATCTCAGTTCAGTCATAAATACTGCAACTATGCCATATAATCATCTACTGAGAGACTGCCAGTTTTCTTTGATTTGCACTCAATTACAAAAGTGACATTTACAAAAGTAACATTTCTGACATTTGTACAGTGCTAAACACTACAAAAGTAGATTCAATAAAGGAATACAAAACAAACGTTTTAATTTGAGCCTTAGTGGAGGTATTTGAGATATGAGAGAAAGTGATTAAAAGGCCAGAATCATGCAGTTTTATCTCTATTATATCCAAATTCAACGTAACTGTAACATTGGCCACTGTCCATTGCACATTTTGTACAACTGAGGTAATGCTTTTTAAGTCATCGCAGATTCAAACCAAAATCAAACCCTGAATTCCCTTTCCAAATTGTACAATAGAGTTTATATTATTGGTCAGCTGGGCTAATTACCAAAATTAGGTTATTGCAGATGAGGCTGATAAGTAAGAAGAAACTGCAGGTTCGACAATTCAACAATAATCAGCCTCATAAATCAAGTACCAATGACTAAAAAGATCCTTCATAGTCATATAACCCCAGAAAATGTGTTATAGCTTCAGATGTTCTGACAAGATTATACACAAAAATAAAAGATGTTTTCCCTCAAACAGAATTTTCAAAGGCTGCAGCTTCTCAATTTATTCTCTATCATTTTTTGATCTCATCTAATGCCTCCATTAAATTAGCAGGTTTCCTCGAGATGTCAAAAGTAGCCTATGATATTTAAGTGGTCAAGTGTAATTGGTGTTTGATACATAACAAAATAACGTGTCAAATGCATTAGAATATGCTTAAATTAAATTATGGCACAAGAGGAAACAGAGTCCCATCATGAGGCTATTGCAAATTGACATTTCTACATAAAATGTTCCATCAAAGCCAAGAGAAATTGCATTATCATTACAATGCAGGAAGAGCTCCTCCACTCCCTGTGCGTTTTCCTCTCCTGCCTGAGGAACACCCCTGCACATATTGGATTGTACATAAAGGATTAAAAGGCTATCCCACGAAAACCCTGAGCCTGAGTGTAGCTGAGAGTACTACTCCTCCAACTGTAATCGTCTCACATGTCAAATTACTGATTTTAATCAAAAAAATGGGAGTGCAAAGGCTATTAAAAATGTAATTTATCACAAAACTCCCTCAATTAGACTTACATAACGACACATTTTACCAACTTAGAGGATCTCATTTCAAAGCCGTTATCGTGGCATCAGATTACATAACAGATGATTCAGAGTAGAAGTTGTGCTTGCTGTGCATCAGTGTGCCAGAGAGACCAAATAAACCCACATTGTCCCCTAACAAACCCTTCATGTTGGCTACTTTGCACGAGCCAGCCCCCCCTTAATCGCATCACACCTGCCAGGTGCAACCTCAAGATATCACGTGCTTTATTCTGCACAGTGTACCTTTAACAGAGAGACCGTGACTCAACCCAGAAGGCTGTGTGTGCGTGTGTGTGCATGTATGTGTGTCTACAAATACAAGGCGCCTAGCATCACTCCCTATCAACAACAAACACGTCCCATCCAAGCTGAGACCAACGGCCGACACCAACACGACTATACATGGGAGGAGAAATGAAATCCCCACGCCACATTTCCATTCACATAATGCTCACATCCTTGCTAATACAATCCCAAAGCTTGTCCTTCCTGGGTATCATGTTTAATTTAATGCACAATAACGCTAGGTCAGCGTGCAGGCTGGTCACGCGAGGAGTATCTGCGTTATTAGAGTGTCTCCAGGGGGAGAAATGGTGCCTTTAACACATTAGCATCAAGCTGTCTTTACTTAAAAACACATCACCGAGCTCGGCAGTAAGCTAATTAGCAGCAGTCGCAGTACCGTTACCGTTGCACCTTCTAAACAGAGTGCCTGCGGGCGGAGGGAGGAGGAGGAGGAGGAGGACCAGGAGGCGAGTGGATGCCTGCCGTCCTGACCACTATCACAGGCTGCTGATACATCCACAGCAAAACATAAACATATCCAGCTCAAGTGCTGAATGGGAGATTTTCTTACCTGTACAGCCCACCAGACACAAGGCTAGGAAAATATCCCTCAACTGGACCATTGCAACTCCGGAGTAAATGTTAAACGGCGTCACTAACGTTTAATCTCCGCTCGGTCCCTGCTGTGTTGCCCTCGGGTTTCCTCGCCGTATCTCAGCAACTGTTCATCCTAATCTATATTTCTAAAGCTGGTCGGTGGTAACTGTCAGCAGCGGCAGCAGTGGCAGCGTCGTTGATGACAAGCAGCGGCCGGAGATTAGCAGTGATGAGCGCCAGTGCACTGTTCAAAGTCTGACTGACAAGCAGAGCCTTCTCACACACGGCGATTACTCCGCGCGATGAAGGACCTCCTGTTAAATAGTGCGCGGGGCTCAAAGGGACCCAGTGTCATAGGGAAACCCCCGTAATAATCATAATAACGCAGAAAATTCTTATGACTACATTGTACTGCACGTCAGCACACAAAAGATATACTGACAGAATGAACCATCAATATTTTTTTAAAAAAAAATAATAATAATTTATAGCTTTTTTCTGTGGTAAAAAAAATATTGCTCCTGATATGCTTCAGGTTGTCATCACCACATAATGGGAAAACTGTCCTCTGGAGACAAAATATGTTTGTGTACTGAAAAATATACAGTGCATGTACAAATACATGTTAACCCTTTGAGAACTGAGCAAATTGTCTTGGTTTCTTTCGAAAACATGGGAAGAAAACAATGAGCAATGAAAGAAAGAATGACCCCCCAAAAATAGCAATAAATTGAAAATAAATTTAAAAAAAAAAGAGCTGTAAAAGAGCTTAAAAATTATAATAATTCTGTAACATAATTTTAAATATATAATAATGATAATTATAAAAATAGCTTTTTCCCTAGCTTTTTCAAAATAATTTTCTAAATCCTTTTTTTTTTTTTTTTTTGTAAATGTGGGACATCTCTTACCAAGCTGCTCATTGCCTTTTTCCCCCATGTTTTTGAAAGAAACTGCACCAATTTGCTCAAAAGTTCAAAGGTTTACTGAAAAAGCAGCACAGGTAAGTGATGTCACTCCAGGTTTCAAAGGGTTAAATAAGGCACTCATGTAGATTTCAGGGGACACATCCTCCATCAATATGTGACAAAATATAAGACATTTATATCATATAATGATGCAGAAAAGGCACAAATCGGTGCATAAAAATTCACAAAAATGCAGTAAATTGAGTGTGTAATGCTTGAAATTTTCTTGCAGAGAACCCCCAACCCCCATTTCATATGTGAAATGAAACCTACGTCCCTGATAAAAGGTTTATAATTGATGGCTTTAAAGATTTATTTAGGTTTAGCTTCACGGAACTAGCCTATCAAGCTATAAGCCATTCATAAGGAGATCATTAATAAGAAAGTAATTTCATCAATTAGAAAACAAATAGCCTACACTAATAGACAAATTAATCACTACAGTTTTTTAAGTAATTTAGTAAAAGAAATCCCCAATTTCTAACCAGTCCCATTTTGGGATTTGTGAGAATTTTCTGCCTTTGTCTTTAAGTACCCGTAAATTAAATATCTTTGGATTTTGAACTGTTGTGCACCATTAGGAGCAGCATGTCCAATTTCGTTGTATCTGGTATACAATGACAATAAAGGTTTCTATTCTATTCTGACAAAACAAGCAATTTATAGACACTGCCTGTGTGCTAGCCATTTCCACTGTTTTCTAACATTTCATAGACTAAATGCCTGACTAATGGATTGAAAAAAATAACCTGCAGATTAATCAATATTTAAAATAAACCTTAGTTGCAGCCCACGTTGTCAGGTTGTGAAAACAATTCCTTTTAATGTAACTATGACCACTTAACCTTTTAGAAAGAGGCTGCAGGGGATCTTGACTAAAATTTGTTAATCAAAAGCTTGTTAAGCAACTGTTAATGGATTAACAACATTTAGAGCTGTATTTTTACCAAATAAAAGGGACAGGGCAAACTTAAATTCACAACTCTGACAACCCAAAGTGGCACACTATCACTAATGACAATCGGAGCCATGGCCAGGATTTTAAAAAATACTGACGTCATAAGTCCTTATTTCACCATGCAGCCTGCAAACTACCAATCATTCAAACACATTTTCACTATGCACTAAAAGATGTCAGTAAAATTGTTATTTTTTTTCTCACATTTATTACTTCCTTTAACTCATCAGTTATGTTTACCTTCCAACAAGATGGTTCAGGGCAGTTTCACAGCTTTTATCACACCGCCAGGAGTATAATTTTAGTGGAGAAAAATTAAATCCATCTATTTAGTTTAATTTAATGATTTAATTTTTTCTTCCCTAAAGGCAGTCAAACCCGAGCGTGAAAAACATTTGAATCAGCCTTCGAAACCCATCAAGTGCAATTTCTTTGTGACTGTAGAATGGAAACTCCTCCAGAGGACAAACAATCAGATGTGACCTCTGTCTTCTCAACGGCAGCTGTGCGGCCCTGATAAACTGTAATGATAAAGGCTTTTAAAAATTTAAAGCACTCATGCAATCAGCACCAGTTAGATTGTGTTTTCTATTACATTATATTTATTATTTCATCTATTGCATGTACAGATTGTCAGATCCAGGTTACAGATCAACTATAATACAGTTTAAATTGTAATAATAAAATGCTCATATATTTATCTCGTTCCCCTTTGTGTTGCTCTACGGGAGGATAAAGTGCTTTTATCAAAATAATGTTAGAGTCCAGCAGAGCTACAACAACGTAAAAAATGCACAACAAAACCCATAGTCATCGCCTCTACATATTTTAGTAAAACACTGTTGTGAGTCAAATACTCCACAGACTCTCCCTCACCCCTCCAATGACCAAAGAGAGCCTTATGCAACGCACTTTTATTTCGGCTTTGAAGCAAATGGTACCTGAGAGAACAAGGATGCAAAAGGAAGAGAAGGTTGTTTGCCCGCACAGCAGGGAGGAACTGTAGCATTTGGCACCCTGAGAGGTTAGTTTGCCTTTGATTTGCACTTTTGGCCAGCTGAGAGATGGAATGAGCCAAAATTTAATAAGCCCAAATCAATCTGTGGGCTGGCTGCAAGTGTATTGTGGTCAGATCTTGCTCATTTGCTGCAGCCCATCCTTCTACAGTTATTCCCTCCACACATACCACCTCAGGGAGTGTGGCCCCAAAAATGTTCACAAGACGTTATACTCCCTTCCTAATTTAACCACCCATCTACTAGGACGTAACTAGAGGAAGCAGGAGGGGAGAAGCTCGATGGGTTTCGGGCACTGTGGGGGTGGGGGTGTGTGTGGGGGGTCTGACTGGCATTTGCGCTTCAGCATCAGAGATAGGAAAAGTATGACTCAGCTGATGACTCATGCATATAAATGCCCTCCGAAATATACTAGTGTTTTATTCAGTGTGCATTGAAGTTGAAAAGCTGATGTGGCTTTTTTTTTTTTTTTAAACAAATATATTTTTAGGTTATCTTGTCAGTGTAACCTCACGCTCACCAGCACTCGAATTTCCAAGAAATTTTTCAAGCAGTTTATTTTTTTTTTTAAAGGATAAATGTGTAAATCTTCTGCTCAAGTAATCATTTATGCCTATGAAATCTCCCAGGTCCCGTCAGCTAAATTCCTCGCAGTTAATTAATAAAAAGCTTAACTGCAGATATCATTTTCAATTAGTCTGTAGAAAATTGATAAAATCCTATCGTGTGAAAAAATCTCTCCAGCAGTTTAACAGTGCTGCATTTTTTAACTTTGTGCTACAGTTGTATTTATATTGCTCTCATCTCTTTGTGTGGCAGCAAAGCCTGGACTGTGTAAATTAAACTTGTATAACAACATTAATGTATCAGTTTTAATAGTGATATCTGTGGGCTCTCTGTTCATGTCGAAACTGTGAGAACAGGTCATACTGACATTACATGGCTGCTTGCTAAAGACTGGACAACACCTCAAATGAGATCATATCCCATGCTGACATGACATGTTTTTATGTTTTGCTCTACATTGAGAGGTCACATGCTCCTCAGCTGACACTTTTAAACACAGTATAGATTTAAACAATAAGATGCTACTGTTTGAAAAGCTGTAAAATATGGATTATTATGTCTCTGGTCAGAAGACATGCTTTGTTTCTTCCAACTTGTGGGTTTTTGCTAAGGTTTGTCTCTGTATTAGTGTGTTTGAGTGCTTACAGACAGTTATCCAAGACAACTGTCACATGCCTTAATCCTCTTCACGGATAAATAATTTTACAGTAGAGAAAAATGTACTCATGTACCCCCCATGAGCTATCAACTCCATTTCTGTTCAACCGAATATGCTGTCCATTTGTGGTAAAGTACACATAACACGCTCTTTCATCTACTCAAATCATCCAGAATCCCCTTCCAAACGTTGCCAAGATCTATTCGGTTGTATTTCTCATGTTCAATCACATGCCGTAGCAGCAGTAGTATAAGTAGTGGTAGTAGTCTGTCTGTGCTGATAAATCTCATCTCTGTTGGTTTCATTTTCCTCAGTTTGGTAAAAAAAAAACAGAAGCCATTTTAAAAACATGTACTGACCTCTGAAACTTCAAAACGTATGTTTTATTACACACCAGGCTCTCTGAAGTTATTCCGTGCTCTCTATCTCTCTGTTTCTCACTCTGCAGTCTATCTCCCCCTCTTTCTCCTGCCTCCTCTCATCCTCTTTCACCCATTAGAGCTGTGACCACACATGCATACTCTCTGGAGCTCACGTCTACATGCACATACACACACACACACACACACACACACACACACACACACACACACAAACACACAAGTGCAGTACGCTTACATTTATTTTTTCAGTGTTTAATACTACTTCTACTGTATTTTTTGTCTTTATTTTCATCAGTCAAACTCCCTCCATCTGTATATCTATCATTTGATGTGTCTATACTGGCCATATTAGCATTTCCTGGAGAGGATACATGTGAACATCCTCCTCTGTTGGTGGTTTTAAAATAGCTTCTCTTACCTCCTCCACTACTGTAACAGAAGGCACCATACAGTACTGATATGAACGTTGGTTTCCGGGTCAGTCGAGAAAAGTAGAGGTCAATTGTGCAGAGAGGAGAGTGCGTTATTGTGTTCAGAGGACTACTACTCAGCGTGACTAAAGAGAAAAACAGGGGGGATACGGTTAGCAATGTTTGAGACGACCCTCTCCCTCTTACTGACTCTTGCAGTGTATGTTACATAATCAATTACTGTTCAGATCAGGCGGAAATAAATCAAACACACTCTGCTGTTATTGTGCATCTGCAGGATGGTATAAACGCAGC